CTATAAATCATCCATACACCTGATCGGGATACCCACAACATAATAGTGACCATGACATGATATGTTCTCCTGGATACAAAACACACAAAACTATTAGCAAACACAATGAAGAGTCACTGAACAAAAATTTCAACCAACTTTACTGTACCATGTGGACACAAAAATTTATTCTTACAACAAATTTGTGATTAAACCTGATGTAAAGAGAAAATCACAAATTTCAAAATGCCTAAGCAGATCTCCATGACAAAGCAACTACCATGCAAAATGGAATGCTGAATCATTGTATTTTTTGTAATATTCAACATGTACTAAAAAAAGAAAAATTACCAATAACCATTATGACTATCCCATTTTAACCCATTTTAACCCATTTGTCTCGGTCAGCAGGAGAGCAACATTCTCTTCATCTCTACTGTCATTGCTTAACCGTTTCTTTCTCAACAAAAGGAAAACTTAACCAATGTATTTCTTGCTCTGATGGACATTATCAAGTCATTTGTAAGGATTTTATTTTTGTAACAAGGATTCATAAGCAGAGGAAAAAATGTCAATTGATCAGAATTTTTAAATTTAATAACCTTCATTACTTCAGGCTAACTAAAAAGTCAAGGGAAATTATGAAAGACGCTAAGTGATATAATTTAATGTCTAATAATCAAAAATGTATTTCAGATTTATAAACATTGCCCCAGGTTATAAGAAAGATATAACCTAAAAAAAAAAAAGATATTGTAAAGCTATTGGTTGATGGGAACAAAATGTTTAGAATTTGTTAAAAGGTTGGAGAGAAATCAAAACATTGGCCAAATAATAATAAGAAAAATGGCTTCAAGAATGTCACAAAAAGACATTTGAGAAAAATGAAAATTGTCATAATGAAGAAAAGTGGATTTACCAGCAAGAAAATATTTGAGAAAGTTAATGTTGCCAATATAAAGAGAAAAATATGGAATATTGGTTAAAGACATAAAAACAATGACTCTATCATCATTTCAAGCTATCATCACAAAGAGAAACATTTAATTGAATGAAGAAGTATATGAAAACTGATTTTTCCACAGCAATTTTTGTGATGAATATAGATCAACATTGCATGGGTAAATGTTTGAAGCTTTCACAGAAATAGTCAAGCATTACATGACGATAGGGTAAGGTAGATTAATGGTTTGGTTTAGTACTGTAGACAACCAAATTAATGGTTTCTTCAAAGCTGATGATGATATCAAAATAAATGCAGAGAATTATTGTAGGAATTTTGGATAAGACACTTTTTAAGTTATACAGGTCACAACCAATAATTTTTAAGTTAAAAACATATTCAGGCAAGACAATACTCCTTTACAATCTGTAAAACTGATCAACTTCTGTAAAGGCCATCTTACCAAAAAGAAAACAAAATGGTTTCAAAGACTAATTAATGGAATTATTCAACTTCTGCAGATATTTATCCAATAGAAAATTGTGGTCTATTATTAAGAGATGTCTTTTTTTAATTAATTCACCCCTAAGAAATGCAATAAAGCCACTAAAATGCAAGGGGTTACCTGAGTGTTAGAGTATATGATAAAAAAAAACACTATTAAGGAGAGAAGACAATAAAAGAATATGAATTAAGAAGATAGAAGATAACGATTGACATTGCATTAAAATTTTTGAAGATCAAAGTTGACTGAGAAGCAAGAAGCCAGTAGAGAGTTCCACAAGTGAGAAGTGCAATAGAAGAAATTGTTAACATAGAACCTACATCTAACCTTTTATTCTTCTTGAGACCTTGTTGCCAATCTAGTGCTGTGTTTAAATTCATAGATTCTATGTACCATAGAGGAAAGTTCATTAGAGCAATTACCATGAAAGTATTTATAGAAAAAAGCATAAGGAAGCTATATTATGGTAGTGGGAAAATGACCGAAGCTGAGATGCCAGGTCAAGACCAATAATATTGTAGATTCTTATAGAAATATATGAAAACTGATTGTGGCTGCATGCAATAAAAGAAAACATGTTCTTGAATGAGCTAAGTCTTTGTTTGCTGAGAGAATGAAGCACTGTATTGCATTAAATAAGTTTGGCTCTCGTGATTAGTGGTGTCTCTATAATAGTGTCTTAAATAAGAGTAATTCTTCTGTCCCTTCTCTCTTCACTCAATTTGAGGTGTTAACGTCTTCTGCTAATAAAGCAGAATGTTTCACCTGTAAATTCTCTTTAAACTCTTGTGGTGAAATGATTTAAAAAAAAAGGTGTTACTGTGTAGGACAGCAGTAGATAGATTGTTGACACTTATGATGTACCCATGACACTTCCGCATCTTGAGGGTGATTATGAGATCATGCAACAACAATTGCTAGGTCTGACACTAAAAAAGTTGGTTCACTGTGCTTTGCCATACAATTTTTCATGTCAGAATCCATTTTACACATCTCTAAATCTACCTTTCATTCATTCATTGAATATTGTTACCATATCTAGTCTGGTGCTCCAGCTATAAATCTCATGATTCTCAACAAAATCAAAAGACGGAAAAGATCTGTAATGTTATCAGTCCTGATCTGGCATCTCGGTTTCAGTCACTTTTGCACAGCCATGACATTGCTTCCTTTTGTCTTTTCTATAAATATTTTCATGGCAGTTGTTTTAATGAGCTCTCCTCCACAGTACCTCAACCACATGAACTTAAAGATACTACTAGATTGGCATACTTGAGCATTCATGTCTCCCATAACAATTATAATTTCTTGTGATTTGCAAAGGTCTTTGGCATCGTCTAGCATAGAGTAGAACTTTTCAATTTCTTCTGTACTTTGTGCTGCCAAGGCATACACAACTATGATAGCTAGGTTGAAAGGCTTCCCCATCAGTTTAACCACAACAGTTAGGAAGGATATTAAAATAATCAAAAACCTATACTGGCAGCAAACTGCCTGTAAACAGATAGAAAATAAGTTCAGCAGATATACAAAAACAGAAAGTGGGTGTAAGACAAGGATGTGTCCTCTCACTGGACATTCAACTTATACAGCTAGGCAACTCTGAGAGAACTAGAAGTCCTACCAGGATTCATTATTGGTGGCCACAATCTTAACAACATAAAGTATGCAGATGACACAGTGTTGATAGCAGACACAGAAAGAAAGCTACAAAAACTCCTACAGAATGCAGTGAAGGAAAGCGAGAAGAAAGGATTAAAAATCAACTGCAAGAAGACAGAATGCATGGTTGTTAGTAAAAGGCATGAACTCTAAATGTGAATTGCAATTTGGAGATGCCAAAATCAAACAAGTGCAGAAATTTAAATATCTGGGCAGTGTTTAACAGAGGATGGAAAGTGTGACACTGAAATCCGAAGGTATATTGGGATAGCCAAGAAGCATTCCAAAAGCTAAACAGAGTACTAAGAACATTTTGCTACAAACGAGAAAAAGAGTACTAACTGCTATGTGATATCTGTCCTCCTGTATGACAGTGAGTACTGGACGGTGTCCTCAAAGATGAAGAGGTGACTTGAAGTAACAGAAATGTGGTTCTACAGAAGTATGTTGTGAATACCATGGACCAAACATGTGAGAAACAACAAAGTTTTGAAAAAAATAGAAACAAAAATGAAACTGATACTTAACATCAGGAAGAAACATTTGTATTTTCTGGGACACATAATGAGAAAGGAGGGCTTGGAAAATCTGATACTCACGGGACAGATAGAGAGCAAGAGGGACAGAGGAAAAAAATACATAATCTACTTAGTGAGCTTGAGTAAATGGATGACAGAACAGGACTTAGAAAAAATAACAAAAAGACAAAGTTTATCAAGAGCTACAAAGAACAGGAAGTTGTGGAGAACCACAATCGCCTATGTGCTGAGGGGACATGGTACATAAAGAAGAAAACTAAATTGGCAGCTAGGTCCCATCATTTTATTGTTGAAATAGATGTAACCATAAGTACTATTTTAATAGTTTCTTTTCTCATACTTCTCACCTGTGGAACTCCTTTCTGATTTCTTGCTTCCCTGTTAACTACAATCTTCAAAAATTTTAATGCAACGTAAATCATAATCTCCTGTCTTTCTGAATCTCATTCTTTTATTGTCTTTTCTCTTCACTAAAGTCTTCTCATTCTTTTTCATTCCCAGTAACCTCTTGCATCTTAGTGGCTTTATTGTCTTGCTTGGGGGGAAATGATTAAAAACAAAATAAAAAGAACCCTATTTCTCGTCTCGCACTACATCACTTATGATGCAGTCTATGTAGGGAATGTCTACGATGGTTTTGAGACATCACATTTCTAATGGGCTTACAGCTACATCACATTGAAACACTATTTCTCATAAGATCACCAAAGTTAAGCAACATCAAGCCTGGCCATTATCTTGATGTGTGACCACCCAGGAATACCAGGTACTGTAAGCTTGGATGCGCAGGTGGTGTAATGGATAATGTCTCAGAATTGTTAATCAGAGAGCCAACTTCCAATTCCAAATGGGTTCATTATATTCTATTATTTGAAAGGAATGAATCTACTTCTTCTCCTCCCTCATCTATGGGTTAATTAGTAAAATTTATATCACTAATTCATCATTATTTCAAAAAGAAACTCTTACAATCTAAAATATTTTCTGGCTTTAAATAACTAGCAAAGGGTTGATAAACTGTGGAAAACTTTATCCACCGTGCCATATGTCCTGTCACATGGCACAGTGGACAAAAGCATTAGTTAGATCCAGTGACAGGACCCAAAGAGTGTGAGTTCAATACCTGGTTAAGGCGGTGGAGAACTTGGAGAGGGGAATTAACAGGAGATAATTGATAACTGACATCCATTAGACATGGCACATGGAACTAGAACAGTCTAACCCAGTGAGCGAAATAAAGGGTTCAGTTCAACATTCCAACAACATGAAGAAGGCCGGAGCGTAGAACTGCTGAAACGTTGTAATACAAATGGTAACAAAGATGAGGACAATAAACCGAATAATGTAAATAGTATAAATTAGGAGGCATTACTTTCAGAACAACCTTTATATATTAGATAGATATGAACAGACTTGCAGTGATTGGCAACTATCAAGTGACTGATAGATAGATAGATAGATAGATAGATAGATAGATTTGAACAGACTGAGATAGATAGATAGATAGATAGATAGATAGATAGATAGATAGATAGATAGATAATGAACAGACTGAGATAGATAGATAGATAGATAGATAGAGATAGATAGATAGATAGATAGATAGATGCACACTAAGCTTAACTAGTCCAGTATAAGATCAACTTGGAGGTATGAAACAGGAAGATTGTGTTGCATCAATTTTTACTTGATAGTCTGGTATTCAGAATCCTTGATCATGTTTTTATTTACAAATTTTTTGTTATTCAGACTCATTTTTACAAATTTTTTTTTCATAGAAAACTTTGTTGATTTGATGTCAGGTTGACTTTGTTTTCCAGATTACAGGGAATTTTCCAGAAAAAATTGATACTTGCTAATCTTTCTCCTCCTCATGGCAATAATGGTGATGCCAACTAGATTGGAATAAATGAAAAAATGAATTTTTGTATTGTGTTAATGAAGAATTATTGACTTTATCCTGTCTGAAGTCATCCCACATCACACTGTTACTTTGGGCTGATTCTGCATTTTTTTCAGACAAACAGGATCTTCACCTGACCAGTAGTGGCAGCTGTGATGGTTCACAAACCTACCAATGTGAAATGCCGCTTCATCACTCAAGATGTTATTTTTAAAAAGATCTGACCAATCTTCATAACAAGGCAGCATATTCTCCACAAACTCCATGCAAATTTCACAGTCTTCAGCAGTCTTCAGCAGTAGTGCAGCTTCCAAGCATGCCATTTAAGCTTCTTCTTGGGCACAATTTGTACTGTGTGAACAGGGAACCCACTTTACCTTACTGTTTGTCAAACTGACGTTCTTGGGCTACATGTAAAAAAATTTTGCAAGCCATGTCTCTTGGTCACTGGACTTGAAAAGATGTGACTGCTTCTTTGAGTATGAGATACAGACTCTGTAGACATGCATTTTGCATAACAATTCTTGATTCTCTTTATGTCAACTTGAGCATGTACTCCTCTAATGGTTGTCCACCATCTTTGCACTTGAACAATGGATTTTAAAACTTCAGAACATGCCGCTAGCTGGGCACACTTCTGCAGGAGAAGATGTTCAGCCATGTTTATAGGGATTCCAAATTTCAAACAAAGTAATAAACCTGAAAAGACAAATACAAACAAATTAAATTCCCATACATTAAAGATCAAACACAAAAATCACGAAACAAAAATTACAATAAGTAAATAAATATATATATATATATATGAAAATATGATGTATAAATTTTTATATAGCAGAACAACATTAGGCAAATTTATGACAAAGAGAAAATGACTGTTTCCTATGTATGCATAATTTTAACCAATGTCTGCATTTTTATATTCCTCCTCTCCTTCATACATATATATCATTACATCAACAAAACATTACTTTAGTTCTCTGATGTCTTAAAGGATGGAACATGTTGTTGCATAGCCCCATCATGCTAGAAGGCCTTGGTCACTGCGCTAAATTAATACAATGTTGTATAGCTCCCTTGTGCTGGGGCATTCTTGGGTGATGGCATCAATTCGTTAATAAAGTTGCATTCTTCTCTTATTCATCTTATCCCAGACAGTGATCACTAGTTGTTTTGATTCAAGTTGGAAAGAACTTCAACGGGAACTTTAAATTTAGCTATTTTATTAGCTTCAACATTTACATCTTCTATTTATCCAGCGGGGTTGCTCTCCCCAACTAGGAAGCCAGATCAGACATGAAAAGAAACATGTCTAGATTGTTAGAAACAACTTCTGAATTCCCTTTCACTCTCTATTGTTCTCACACTGGCTCAGCCAATCAAAATCGACTTGTTTTGTCTTCCATCTGACCTTAAAGTTCAACCCCAGGAATGTAAGAGCAGTGATACACTTCCTTTAAGAAAATAATAGTCTTCTAAACTATTATTTAACAGTGTCACACAAAAAACGTTTTCCACTTTGTCATTGATTTGCCCAATATATGTTTGTGAGTGTGTGTGTGTGTGCATGTGTATGTGTTTGTGTGGCATTCTTTAGATCAAAGCACAACTTTCAAATCTTTCCTGAAAGAAATATTCCTTTTCCAAATCAACATGCATGACCATAAACATTTTAAAAAATTAAAAGTGGTTAAATCAAAACCTTTTATTATTTAAAATAAATAAATACATAAATAATTTATGGAATTAAAATAAAACCTGTTTCCTAATTATTACATTAATAAATAGAAATAAATAAATATATATATAAACAAATAAGAGAATAGACACTTTACCAACAACAATAACAACATTTATTCATTTTCGTTTATTTGGCATTAAATTACATCACTTAGCATCTTCCATAGTTTACATAAATTGCATCACTTAGCATCTTCCATAGTTTAGCCTAAGAATATTTATGAGCATTCTTAAATTTAAAAATTTTGAAAGCTTGAAATATTTTAAATTATGTTTATAAATATGTTGTTGCAAAATAAAATCCTCACAATTGCATTGATAAGGTCCCCCAGAGGACGAAATGCATTAGCTAAAATAAGTTTTTCTCTGTGTGTGTGTGTGTGTGTGTGTGTGTGTGTGTGCGTGCATGCATGCATCTAGCCACACTGAGGAGCTGTGATACAGCAAAACAGTCTGTCTGTGGACTATATATATATATATATATATATATATATATATATATATATATATATATTTGGTGAAAATTTCTCTTCCTAACCAAAAGAAGGACCAAGTTTTATGAAATGCATCTGCGATTTGACAAATTCAACTCACAATTAAGCAAATTCTTGCCACGGCATTTATTGGGTTTCTTTGATCCTTCTAAAAAACGTTTTGATTCTTAGACATTAAAATACTGATTTTAGGAAATGGCGTAACGCATTCATGTGTGTGCATATGTTTATGTATGTATATATGTGTGTGCACACGTGTGTCTGTGTGTGTGCACACGTGTATGTGTTCAATCATACATGTATACGTATATGAGTGTGTGTACATGTGTGTGTGTGCTGCCAGCAGCCTGCAGGTTATATTCATCCTCGATGTTCTTTTCCACTCAGCAAACAAAACAAACAAAGTTTTGATTTCATTTCAACATGAATTCCTTCCACTCAAATCAAATGAATTTTATTTCCTTTTTATTTGCATAAAAACAATTTTTTTCTTTTTCATTTTTTTTTTTTTATTTTATTTTTTTTTGCATTTTTTCTTCGGATTGCTCCATATTCCAAATACACAGCAGTGACAAGAATGAATCCAAAAAAACAAAAATACCTCTAATCAATATTTCATCTCAATATCCAATCGATTCTTAAATACTTTCGCAAGTTTTGCTTTTACTTTCTCTCGGTCAGCACAGAATTGTATGGTGGCCCAAAATTGCCATTTTTTCAGAGTTTTCTGTCATTTTACTTCTAACACAGATATAAATTTTCAGGCACAAGAATGAGCAATAGGAACTTACCATCATCCATTTGCAAAGCTTTGTGACTGAGATAGTTGTAGATTTCCTATCAACATCAATAGCATCAGTTCAAACCCTTTTAAAAGCTCAAACTTTCAAATGATGACTTTTAAGGTTTGAAAGCAGGAGCGGAAGGATTGGTATTATTTATATATCTCTCTCACATCATCTGACCCTGTGCCAGACTAAAGCTGAGCTAATGATTTTGCTTTGTGGCTGAGAAAGTACTGTTTTTTATACTTGACTATGTAAAAAATATTTTTAAGGTAAGCAACGCCCCACTCCCGCCAGTTGCATGATTGGTGCATCACAATCTTTCTCTTTTTATTTATCTATCTACATTTGGCTTTAACTTTAGTATGTATCGATTATAGTTCCACTGACAATAAATCACTTTGACAGTTTGTCTTACATCTTGCTTCAATTTAATCTGCATTTCTGAAAGATTTCTGTTTTTTTGTTTTTTTTTTTGTTTTTGTTTTTTTTTTATTGGGGGTGGGATACAGGGGATTAATTGAAGATTATCCTTTAATTTTTTAGGATGCGACTTAATCCCTCCTTTGTTTGAAAAATGACAAAAATATATATTTATGATATTTACTGAACTTTAGTCAAACACAAAACTTGGAAAACTGAAGTTTGGAAGATTCTATTGTAATCTTTCATGTGGAGGGGAATTTTCAGCTTTGAAAATTAACTTTCAAGATCCTGGCTTATTTGTGTTTTGGTCTCAAAGAATATATCTTCCCACAAATGAGAAACTATCAAACATGAAAATTACCAGATAAGGAAACTGAAAAGCAGTGTTTAAAATTTAGTTGAGACACTTTGGAAAGGCATGATTCCAACCCTCCCTGCACTCTATCTTATAGCCAATTAGGATCAAGGCAGAGAAAAGAATCAACCTACTTTCCCATAATTACCTTCTTCTGGACTGTATTAGGTAAAAACAGGCTTTTAGGTTCTTCTTCAGGCATAAAACCATATGGAATAAGAGCTGACACTTTTTCACATATATTTTCCATTTTGTGATGTCAACGAACACTCGTTGCCACTTTTGTAATGTCAACAAATGCTCACTTTCATAATGCTCGTTGTAGTAGAGACTTTGTAATCGCAGATACAACTATAACGCCGTTGAACAATACTGGTGTTAGACGCCTTTAAATAACACTCACACTAATAGTACTTGCTCGATAATACTGGCTTGAAAAGTAACCACCGAATAGTGATCCAAATAATAATCCGTATAGTGATCACTTAGACTTCATGCTAATTTCCCTATATACATTTCCTTTGCCATCACGTGATCTACTTATTCAAAATGGGATCGCCTGTGTTTGCTCTCTGGTGATCTGTGTTCAAACTCCAGTATCAACATTGACACTTTGTTCCTATATAACACCTCCCCTTTGAGATGACTTCTCCTGGGGTATATACTTCTTCAGCTTCGGATCAGTAGTTAGAAATTCTGTTGGTAGTCTTTTTCTTTTGCCATAAACCCTTTGTTCAACAATTTCTAATGACGTGAGTACCTTAAACGTGTCATACAGAATTCCCTTTGCTACCTCTTTTCAGCAACTTTTTAAATCAGTGAATCTACATTTTAACTGATTAAGGTGTCACTTATGTCACTACTTTTGTCCCTGTACCATGTATGTCATTTTGCCGATCCGTTTTATTTA